GCTTAAAATACTAAATTAAAAATTTCTGAACTCCCAGAGACCCCAAGTGCACAACAAAATGCATATAACGGCTAAAAAAGTGGGTTTTGCATGATATGTCCCCCTTAATGTGAGATTCAGAATATAATGAGTGTCAGAGATAGAGTGACAGAGTCAGTGCCATCTGCATTATTTTTCACATCACTCATAAGAACGTGTTGTGCTTTTGGCCTCCTGACATCACGTGCCTGCCATGCATGAACAACAACAACAAAAAAAACTAATAAATAAATAAACAAACAAACAAACAAACAAACACACAGTCCAAAATATAGCTCTTTGACCTCAGTGTGGGTAAATACATGTGGGTTCTGAACAGATATAAGTGCCTTCATCAATGAATGCTTCTTCCCCAAATGCTAATTTCTAACTAAAATGTMCTCATTACCAAATCTATGATGTAGATCTTATTTATACATCTGAGTCTATGTGTCATCAATGTTATTTTTTCTTGATTGTTGCCCACCAAGGTTGTTTAAACCCCCCTATCCTCCATTCTAAAGTTGTGAAACAATACCACTGTGCCAACYGTTGTGAAAGCTGTTGTCAAGTAGGTAACATGAAAACACTGTACTGGTGTGAAAATGTCCACATAAGAAAGCAGTGGAGTATGTGATATTATTTACTACTACTTTTTAGATGAGCAGCTCACTCCTGAGATAGGAAAATTAAATAAGCATCACAATAGTCTTCAAAGGGAGGCAAGTGGCACAATCAGCAATTAATCTAAATTTACAGCACTCTGTGGAGTGTGGGGGGAGACTTAACTCTGCCTAAGTATGGCTTGTTGGTTGCTGTCTCAGATGACAGTATAGCCAGCTAATTATATCCCCTGTGAGGATGTGCAACATGGTAGCAACTGGAAGATCATAGCACATTTGATGATGATGGTTGAGATAGTGGCAGCCRGCCGCCCAGCTATCTGCAGGCCCTCCTCGATGATGCTGCACAACAAAGCAGGACCGAGCTGCTCTTCAGCTGTACAGTCACTTGTCTGAAGTTWCAGAAATGAAAATGATAACCTTTAAGAAAAAAAAAACTTTTGTATTATGTGCAGCAGTGTGAAGTGAAGGGATTCATTTAAAAGAATAATAGCATACAGAACTCATGAAGTACAGCAGTGTTAATCGGTTGCTTTCATCTCATGCCATCACATTTATTGATCCGCCCATCATGTTTCAAAGCACCTAGATGAGATCAGATAATGAWGGCTGCACCTTCTAGCTTATACTAATCGTCATAATTTCAACTGAGAGGACAGTGATGAATTGTGCTCATGTTTATTGTTTGTTTTTGTGCTCTTACAAGGAAGTATATTGGATTTAAGATGAATAACATTCAACTTTGAGTGGGAGGTGTGGGGAAGCACATAAAATGATGCATTTAGGCAGTGTATTTTAAATCTTTTTTCCTGTCTTTGTTAACCAAATAAGGTGAAACATAGCCTTTTATACATACATACATACATACATACATACA